CTTATCCAAATATTTTATCCGACATTATGCTGATGGTTTGATTTTTTTTACTTAAAACAGTGAAACTGTTCGCAATAATTCATTCACCCATAGTTTAGAAAGTACGCATCATCAATATGTTTTAAGCAGTGTGTAGCACTATTGGCCTGCACTAAAAATGTCCTGGAATCCAGGCCTAATCAGACTCCTCCCAGAAACGACCTGTTCGAGATGTAGCCAACTGACAGATAATAGATGGATGGAAAAATGTTCAACAGCTACAATATAAGTAAAACCATCAGCGTTTTATTGTTGGGGTTTATTGCTTTGATCATATTACTAATTATTATTTGAAGTAGTTTCCCCCTTATTTCCAGTAAATTGTAGATCATTGGTAGATCCAACCCTGGTTGCAGCCTCCCTCTTTTGCTATGAGCATTCACCTCCTTGTCCAAAGGTCTCTTAGCTATGTTATAATCTTTTCCTACATCTCACTGTTGATGTTTCTATGCTCTTAACATTGAAAAGTAACACGTAAAAGCGGTAGGGAGTTATTCAAATCTGCCTAAGTTATATGAATGAGCAGCGACCTCGGATTGTAAACCTGCAGGCTCTGTGTTTGGGGCTGTTTACACTCCTCTCTGGCTCTTTGTATGTTTGTTGCATTGCTGTGAAAGAGGATGCTTTTTTAATGTGCTGTTTGTCTGTCTGCACTGGTTCTAACAATAGATGAACTTTGTGTTGTTGGCCAGATATTGGGTGGTCTTCAGAGCGGGATCACCTGGAAACTGTTTAAACTCTACAGACCATCAGGAAGAAGCATTCAGGACCAGGAGGCCACAGAGTTTATGGGTTTGGTCTTTGCTTCTGAATCATATTACATCAGAAATTCCTCATGTCCATCAATGCAGGCACACAAATCCACCAGGTATCCTCAGATTTAGTAAAAATTAGAGATATTCCTTCTTCCTTGGAAACCACCACTCTACTATCAGGTTTTTTATGAAGTCAAAAGGCAAAGCAAGATCAATGCAACAATCTTCCAGGACATTTTTATTTAATGTTTTCTTCTGGTGACATGTTTTTACGCCACAATGATGCAAAAAGGGCCCCAAACAACAACTGAGAGCAGATCCTGTTTAAAAAGATCTTTATCAAAAATCCTTTTATTTATTGCTCTGATGTAGTATCATATGTATTAAAACTGAATGTTTAGTTTTATTTAGAAACATAATTTGCAGGAATCATCCCCTCAACTCCATCCTTAATAGACAAGTTTAATCATTTTCATAATTTATTAAACATATAAGCCGTTTCATGATTTTCTAAGTTATTAAAAAGATTTTAATTCATAGAAAAAAAATATGGTTTCAGCAAATGAAGACCTCTGTCCCAGAAAACTTCTTTAATCCTGCCTGAAGTGTATTAAACCTTCTCTGAAACATACAGTAACATCATTGAGATAAACAGTGTTCTGCCCCCAGCTCTATGAATGACCCCTGTGGTCAGTCCATCTAACGGGGAAACCGTTAATCTCTCAGCTGCACTGGATCAGCTCCACAGACACACCTGCTACCATCATGGCGTAGACGTTGTGTTTTATCTCCACCTCTCCACACTCTTTTTTTCTCTCATGAAACAAAGCAGCACCACAGAAAGGATAAAAATTATAGATTAATTTCACCTCTCAAACTCTTCACTGTCATTGTAGAAGGATTGTTAACTTCCCCAGATTTATAGATGAGCGAGCGTTTTGCAGCCTGCAGGGAACTGCCTGGTAAACGAGGCCAAGCTTTAAATGGTTCATTGCACTCTGTGATGTTTTGCATATGATCGTTTATTGTTCATCCAGCTCCCTGAGTGAATATGATCCGCGTTCATAAACACTTCGCTGCAGCATTTACTGAAAGTGGAACAAACCAGAAAGGGAGACTCGCTGACGATTTGCTCAGCAATCATCTTTCATCAGTTTGTTGATTCCTGATGCATAAATATTGTGCCCAAATAATGAAATTCCTTTACTGTATTACAGTAAATAGCAGAAAAATGCGGTTTGATGAATTGTAAAGTCAAGCAATAAGAGGTTCTAATAAATGTGCTGCTGACCAGAATCAGCTGTCTGAGCCAGACTGGTGATCGGCCGAACGGAAGCTAAAAGATCCATTAAAAAGTTGCTCTATGTATTAAGAGAGGGATCAATGATTTAACACGTTTACAGATGTGGGCATAACAAAGCAAGACTGGATCTCTATTTGAAAGAAATAAATGAGTAAAATAATTTTATATGCATAAATACATTTTTTGCATTGTAGTAAATCCATGATTTTCACTATGGCTCTGATTAAAGCACCATAACTGGTTTCAGTTTTATGATTACAGTTAAATATTTGCACGACTTTGGTCACAAGGAATGTACATCAGCTGTGAGAAATAATGCTTTAGTGTTTATGCAGAATCTGAAGGCCAGATGCCACTAATATGATAACAATTTTATACGGAAATGCCTAAAATCGGTTCAGTGTTGGAATCTCAGGGAGGTGTACCTGGTGCATGATGGAGGAATCCCTTTTACAGCTTCAGGTCGCTGAATGCACTTCTGTTTCAAAGATGCTCTTTTTTTCAAAATTAAAAAACAGAAAATGTAAAAATAACCTTTTTTGTTTAAGTTCCTACATTTAGCACAGCTCATTTCTAAACAAGCAGCGTTTGTGGAGATGAAGTCTAAGTAAGATGCTAAAAAGGCATTTGGCTAAAGTTGCTGCATCCAACATAAACCTCTAAATAAGCTCCAGATTAAAGTAACCATGGTGTTTTGTATTTTTTTTATGAAAAGGCTTAGAGGAATCTGTGTTTTCTTATGGATCAATCAGCTCTTTTTCCTCTGATGCTTCACCTTGAAATATGACTTTTTCATGTTAGAATGTCTGTGTTGGGCTTTTGATTAAAACTTGTGATAAAATCAGCGTCAGAGGGCCTTGGCTTTTTTCTGTGTAAGCTCTTTTTTCAAATCAGAAAAGCCACAGTAGAATAAATTTGGTCCTCCTCCTGGATTTGATTGTTTCCTAGAAGGGCGCTAACATTAGCCCACCTTGCTTTCATCAACGTTGCCTCTATAGCTACAATCAGGGCCTCAACCTGCAGGCACTCACTTATTGCTGCTGCTTGTGTAACGTTTTATCTGTTGTTTAAGTTACCAGGAAACATTTGCACATAAACCATGGCAACTGCTAATTTTGCTACAGCTACCCACATACAGTAGAAGTTAGATTCTTGTGGAAATAGGGGTAAATTATTATTCACCTCCTAAAAATGCTTCAGCATAAATTTGAAGATGTTTTCAGGATATTGATTATGTTTAAATGCCAGGTTATGGTTCCTTTAATTAAACTGAACCGAGCAGGAAATCCTACAGGCCAAGAAAACGATGCAGTATCAGCATAAAATGACAGTAAAACATAAAGAAAATTGTTTTATTTAAATCTGTCTGCTGATTCACAGTTGATTTGTGAAGGAAACCAGGGTCGGCCATCTCTCCCCTCATTCATTCCTTCATTTCATCCTTTCCTAACCCCAGTCTCCCTCATTCTCATCACCTTCTAACTTTATTCTGCCTTATCCCTCGCCTTGTATCTCTCCCTGGTCTCGCTGACACACAGCAGGCAGAGGGGGATGAAATGCTGCGGCATTGTACACCAAACATCCCTAATAGGCTAATCTAATCTCATCTCTTTGCGGTCCATGGCCCTGTGTTTACTTTCTGCCCCGTGTCTGCGCGCTGGCTGTGCCTCGCCTCGCTGAATGCAGCTTTGTTCCTGCAAAAAAAAAAAAAAATCTCATCCTCAGCGTGATCTCTGTAGCGGGCGCCAACTCCACGACTGTCTGCTCATAAAGCCTGCAGGCTGAAGCTCACTCTCATCCATCAGATGCCTGTCTAGGTGCTGCTTCATCTCTTTCTTTTTAGTTTGGAGGTAGACAAAAGCACCAGAAGGAGCATCAACACAGAAAACAAAGGTTTGCAGCTCTGCATGTCAGGAGGTAAATAAAGATTAATGTTCAGTCAATTTCCAGCTACAAGTGGGTATTATGTTATTATTAAAAATATGACGGCATATTTTTTTCCCCACTTTTTATAAAGAAAAACAAAACAAAAAAAGCAATTTTGCTTTTTGCTCTACAACTACGACCTTCAATCTGGAGCAGCTGGTAGAAACCAGATCTCCACTCAGTCCCAGGCTCTGGAGCCAAACTTTGAGACTTTAATCTGACTATCAGGGAGAACGAGCTGCTTTGCAAAACTGAAGGACAGGAAAACTGAAGGAGGTGAGCATAGAAACAGTCAGAACCTTCTCTATAAACAATAAGACTAAACAAAAATCTAAATAATTTCCACTTACGACCTAAAAAGCTTCCAATCAAACAGCTCATGTAGAAAAACAACCCAGATTCAAAAACACTGAATAAATCATTGGATGTTTTTTGTAAAACTTTGACTTTTTACGAGACAGAAACCTACAGACGCTGATCAGGTCCATCACCTAAAAGCCAAACTCCACAGCGCTCCTTCTTTACTAATTCCACTCCGTTTGTCAGAACTCATATTTTCCATCAAGAAAGAATCAGATGATTAAAGACGAGAGCAATCAGCAGCCATGCCTTTAGTTCACAGGAAGCGCACACATTCCCTGCATTTTCTATCTGTTGGTAACGTGTCTTTTATGCTTAAATTGATACTTACATAACATTTGTTATAATTCTGTCACTTTTATCATGTAAATGGGGGAAGATAAATCATTATTGGTTAAAAAAAAAATCTGCAGCATTTGAGCATGATGATTGTTCTGCTCTAAACCTCTAGGATTTAATTCCTACAGATCATTCAAACCTCTACCAACTGAAAGGACTCCATTCTCATATATTAATACACCAATATTATCAAAATATCCAACCAGTTTGAAATGAATAGAGGAGAAGGACTTATGCTAGGATTTAATCTACTGTTTTTTGGGTCTTCTGGGACTCACCTCTGGCAGCCATGGACATCATGATCAACTCCAGTAGCAGACAAATCCACAAAAACTCCATTTAGGATATATATATATATTTTTTTTTATGGAGAAAGAATCACCCTGGAAGAAAATAAAAACAAAAGGTTGATACTTCTGCAGATTGATGATCTCCCTTTTTTATACCCTGATTTGATTCTGATCTCAGTATATCTGAACTTAAAACTAATTTTCTGAATTTCGCACAGAAACCCTGATGGTAAAACATTTTTCATACTCCTATAATTTGAAATGCTTTCTATCAGGTTTTCCCCTCCCCACGCATCTTTGCATTTACTTAAGAATATTTAGTTTAACACAACTGTGTCATGTTAGGATGGAGGTATCTGTGTCTGTTCAGCTGCAGGCTGCAGACTAGTTAAACTGATTAACCAGCCAAGATGGATTTCAGCTTCTTCTGTTACTGTATGAAAGGTAAATGTGTTATAGCCAAGAGTAATACTGTAAATAAGCAGCATTAATTCTGCACCTGGAAGCAAGAAAAGCAACCTAAGTGCTTTTAGTTGCATTTTTTGGGAACACACTGAAGCCAGAAAATATCACTGATCCACAAAGATCTAGTGCATCTTTATTCAGCCTCTTTTAAAGTATGTGGAAAGAAAATTAAGGTTTTAAATATCTTGTAAATAATTTCCAGAATGCATCAGAACACAGTGGTGGGCCGGACTGTACTGGCAGAGATATTAGAGACAAGAATCTGACCAGATGTTCCCGAGCTTTCCATTGGAGATTTATTTTCTCCACCTGTCCACATGTCTCTCCTTACAGTAGCCACTTTCAGTCTTTCTGGGACATAAATTGTCCCTTATAGGAGATTTGGTTTCTGTGCCTCTCAAGCTGGAGTTTTACCAGCATCTGTTATTCTCAGTGTCTCACTGTGAAGGAGAACCCGTAATATTATTATTATTATTATTATTATTATTATTATTATTATTATTATTATTATTATTATTATTATTATTATTGTTGTTGGTTTAAATGATAATAATACTAATAATAATAATAATAATAATAATAATAATAATAATAATAATAATAATAATAATAATATGACGATCTCAGTTTGTGGATTAAAATGAGCAGTTTGTCAAAAAAAAAAAATCAGAAAATTAAAAAAAGTGCTGATTAAAAGATAATTTTTTTTTATGAAAATGCAGGAAAACCTGAAAAGTTGATATAAAAAAATGTATTGATATAAACTAACTTTATTTACTAAGTGAATCAGAGAATGTCAAATAAAGATTAGAGATAATTATGAGAAATGTACACCTGCTTTGAAGATTCTTCTAAGGAAAAATGTTTTTTTAAGTAAAGTCAGACTTACAGTAAATAAAGATCCTTAGACTGCTACCATCAGTAAGGCAGGAGGTTCTCTAGGGTCTGAAAATGAAACAAGGTCCAAAATGTTTGTCCAGAAGGAGAATGATGCGCGTCCGTTAGAAATAAAAAAGAAAACAATGAAGCAAACAGCAGAAAAAGTGTCAAGCAGCCAACATGTGCGTCTGCAGAGTTTCTGAATGACAGTCTGTGAGCAGAGCGCCCACTGATAGGAGCAGAAAACACACCGAACCATAAAATAGAACCACTCTTCATGTATCCATGGACCAAACACCTGAACTGCAGACCTAAACAGCCTCCAGCGACTTTCCACCGTCGAAATCTTTGCCGTAGGCGAAAAAACAAAAGTGAGTAGAGAGGAAACTCTCAGCCTGAAACTTTCCACCAATCAGAGCGCAGCCCAATCAGCGAGCGGGCCAATCACAGTGCACGAAGATGCCCAGCGATTTTACTTGGGGCTGATGAGTAAAAAAGAATTAATTTAAATTAATATTAATGATTTAGATATGAACAGCAGGGTGAGCTCTGCACACAGGAAAGAGGCTGTTATTGACGACATAAGAAACTTAAAAAGATACATCATCATCATTATGTATAATAGTTATAACAAGGGTGTACTGCGTTTAGTAAAAGTTAAAGGTTTTAAGTGGGATTAGAGTTATTCTATATAATACATTTGTAAATGATGTGTTATTATCTGTTTTTCATTACATCCAGTGGATAATTGAACAGCTTGCACAATTCTGCCCTTACATGGGTTAGTTATAGCAATATTTTCTGACTAATTTTCAATTATTTCTTATCTATCTATCTATCTATCTATCTATCTATCTATCTAT